CATCAACCCATTCTGTAGGATTTGTAGGATTTTACCTTGCATTTTTCCTGCCTTCCCTCTGTACTTTATTCAACCTCCCTGCTTGTCGCGGAAATAAAACAGCAATTTGATTCAGGAGAATTCAGTTAAGTGCAGTCACTTGTTTATATTATTTGGAATTATTTTATTTATAGTTTGGCTAAAAACACTTTATACTGTTTTGTTTTATGCTCAATATGTAATATGTGCTCTGTAATTAAATAGTTTTAGGATTAAACAAGTGAAGGCTAACATATGATATAAGATTAGTGTGAGAACAGACAAAAAAGAATAAAAAAAGTTTATCCAAAAACCTTTGGGATGTTGTTCAAAAGCAGTACTTGATAAATAAATTTCAGAATCTAGATTTTAAATAGCTGTTTGCTTTATTATATCATAGTATTTTAATTTACAAGTATTTTGTTTTGTTCATCCATGATCTATTGACTGCTATTTGTTGTTATGTGGGAATTTAATCAAAACTATATTTTCTGGTTTTATTCTTTGGGTGGTGATGAGGTGGTTCAGATTTTGGGCATCATTTTATTGGGCTCTGGTTAGTTTCAGACCCAAAACCTGATGTGTGTCAGGTCAGATATTGGCAACATTTTGAACTGAGCATATATTTTAACAAGAAATTCAAGCAATCCATGCAGTCTGTGAGCTACTAAGTGGAAAGAGGCAATGGCAAAAAATCATGATACTTGAAGGCATTTCTATGATACAATATACATCATGATATTCACTGTATTATAATACAATTTGCAGGGCCAGTTGGGGTTTAATAAACTGCTAACATTGTCGCTATTCTGTATTTGATGCTTAAAATATGTGGTGACCTAATTTATCACAATGATATCACATCATATTGCCCACCTCTAATCTAATGTTGTATGTTTGTGGTGGTGTTCTGTCGTATTGCTGTGTTGTATGAATACCCTTTCAGATGTATGTATATGAGTGCGTGTGTGTGTCTGTCTGTGTATATGTGTGTTTGTGCGTGTTTGTTTAGGCCTCCAGGCTGTGTAATGATGTATGGCTGCTCCGCTAGGCTGCAGCTCACTCGAGCACTGGCACATCGCAGCCTCTTATTATTGCTTTGTTAATTTAAATAGGTGCATGCATCATATTCCTCCAGCCCACCCAGAGCACAGGGCAGAGAGAGGAAAGCAGCCCAAAGGGCTTTTTAATAGCCAATGAGATCAAACCACTTTTCTGTGATTTGACTAGATGCATTATGTTGTATGCGTGAGTGTTATGGTCTGTAATGAGATTGCTGCTACAGAGCAGTTAGCGTTTAATTTCACAGCTAATACTGACTATTAATTCTCTCTACTCTCTTTTTTTCTTTTTGAACAACCTCTTTCTCTCCTCAAATCGCCATCCTACCCCAACCCCCACAATCACTAGTCCTCTGTAGGTGCAGTTGTGTATTCTGAAATATTTTAGATTGTGCCTTTGATTACTGATGGTTTTCTTCTTCATTTCATGGCCTTTTCTTTATCTAGTCTCTTCTATAAAGACTGTTGCTGTTTGACACAGAAGTCTAAAATTTTACTCATTGTCAAGGTTTTTCTCTATTACTTGGTTGTTAATTGTCTATACGGTTTACGTCCAGTTAAAGCCAGATTCCCATGAAAACTTTTATATTTTATGTTGTGTTTTATTGTCATAATTTTACAATTATGTCCCTGTGGTTCAGATGAATCTCAGTTTCTGCTGAGGCACACAGATGGTAGGGCCAGAATTTGGCACAAACAGTTTGAATCCAAACCTGCCTTGTGTCAACAAGCCAGGCTGGTAGAGGTGGTGTAATGGTGTGGGAAAAGTTTTCATGGCATATTTGTGGCCCGTTAATAGCAATCAGTCATCACTTGAATGCCACAACCTATTTGAGTGTTGTTGCTGACCATGTGCATCCCGTAATGGCTGCAATTTACCCATCTTCTGAGGGCTACTTCCAGCAAGATAATGCACCATGTCACAAAGCAGAAGTCATATCAAACTGGTTTCACATGACAATGAGTTCAGTATTTCTCAATGGTATCCACCTTCATCAGATCTGAATCTAATAGAACACCTTTGGGATGTGTTAGAATAGGAGATTCATATGAAATTACACCTGAAAAATTGTCAGGAATTGCATAATGCAGTTAATTGTCCATCTTATCAGCTCCACTCATACATAGGTGCACTTTGTAGTTCTACAGTTCTTACAGACTGTAGTTCATCTGTTTCTCTACATAGTTTGTTAACCCATTTTACTCTTGTCTTATTTTCTATGATCAGGGCACCGACAGGACCACCACAGAGCAGGCATTATTTAGGCAGTGGCTCATTCACAGCACTGCAGTGACACTGAGGTGGTGGTAGTGTATTGGTGTGTTGTGCTGGCACGAGTGGAACAGTCACAGTAGTGCTGCTGGAGTTTATAAACACTGTGTCTGCTCTGTTAGACACGCCTACCTTGTTGATCCCCCTTGTAGATGTAAAGTCAGAGACTGTAGCTCATCTGATGCTGCACAGTTTGTGTTGGTCATCCTCTAGTCCTTCATCAGTGGTCACAGGACACTGCCCACAGGACACTGTTGGCTGAATATTTTTGGTTGGTGGACTATTTTCAGTCCAGCAGTAACACTGAGGTGTTTAAAAACTCCAGCAGCACTGCTCAGTCTGATCTGCTATTTGTCCACTTTAGGCTTGTAGTAGTTGCAAACAATGAACAAAGACAGTTAAATTGTTAATTATTTATATATGACAGTCATTGACTAAAATTTAATGACTGTAAAAGCACTAACGAGGACACCTGTAGCTTAATGACTTGCTTATGCCATATAATATTCCATTGGTTTAAAGGTAAAAGGTCTAAAACATTACATATAAATATAATTTTTAGATGGTTTATCGAACTGTTCATAATTAAAGTAGTCCTCATTAGTCCTCAGTCAGTTTTCTTTCCCAAAACAGCGATTATCAACTTAGTGTAATTATCAGCTTACTTGCCAACAATCACAGACATCTAATTATATCATCCTATCACCCAGGCCTAATACAATATGATATGACACAGAACGGCATGCTAGACATACCAAATATAATGTTAAATTTTTTGCTGACTTACTAGCTTGCAGAATGAAAAAAAAAACCTAATGTAAACTTGGGACATGTTAAGACATTCTTTTTAGCTATTTTAGTGTAGATTTGCAATATCTGTAAACTCATGAATTAATCAATTTGCGTATCAAGATCAAGAATCTATATAAAATATATTGGCACTGATATTTTAAACACAGGCCTAATCTTCTTTAAACTGTACATTTCTTGATTTTTTTCGTTTGTTTAAAACGGTCATCAGATACAAGTGATCAATTTTTCAGGAAATGAGATATAAGAGATTAGATATAAGATAATCCATGTGCATAAGAGGGGGAATGTGAAAGGAAAAAAGTGACAAAAAGAGTTTCCAAAACTAGGAAATAAAACAACAGTGTAGACAAAATGGGACCCTTAACAACTGTACAAGAATTGATAGACCACCAAAACTGTCCCCATCAGATAAAGAGTATTTAAATCTTTCATCTTTGAGAGAGAAAGAGAAGAAAATAAAGCTCTAATCTTGCTTCAGACCTAAAAAATGTATGAGTTTCTGTCCATCCTTCCACTGTGAGAAGACAACTCAGCACTATGGATCTGAAATGGTTGTTTTAATGTCAAGAAGCCTTCACTGAGAGAAGGAAATAGCCAAAATGAAGAACATGGTCTGAACACCCCAGAGCTCAACATCAATGAATGTGTTTGGGATTACTTGGATTATGAGAAGCAGAAAAAACAACCAACTTCTAAGACTGAACTTTGGAGGTGTGGGAAATATATGATTGCAGATTTTCTTTGAAAAACTGAAAGCAAATGTTCCAAAAAGAATGGAAGCTGCAATAAAGACAAAGTGTGGACATAGTAAATACTGTAAAAAGAAAAAAAAGAATACATATATATAAAATATGAGGATTTGAGGCTTTTTGTGTAATCTTTCCATAAAATGTTTTCTGCTTTTTTCCAGGACTCTAAAAAAAAATACTTTAATACTTTAATGAATACTTAATGGCTGTTTTGACTGCAAATTAAGTAAATGAAAAAAGGGTCTCTGACATTTACATTGTACTGTATTTTTCACCATATTACCCATATCTTCTGAAGTTTTTTATTTGGGTCATGAAGTCTGCCTTTGATTTTTCTCTGTACATGACTCGGTTCAATGGGGTCGAGGTTGCTGAGGGGTATGCTGTGTATTTTATTGTAAGTTGAATTAAAAATTTTTGATTGAATTATTACCTGCCACTTCTGCTTGAGCCTCTGTCTACTGCTTTCATCATCTCTCTCTCTTGCGCGCGAATATGGGCTGTTACTCTGTTTAGGGACGTCCATGCTGTCTTCCTCCATCTTTTAGTTCAGGGACTCGGTGTTTGTTCAGATTGTAATCATGGCTGTACGTTGTTCTGCATTGTGCTCCATCCAACAAAAGAGGGGTTCAGGTGCTGCAAAAAAAATTAATATACACTGCCTCCTTTCACCGAAGGAAAATCTCTTCATCAAGGACACATGCACCCTGCATATCATTCACTACGAGTGTTTGTTGTATTTTTGAAAAGCGTACACGAGTTTCTTAATCAGTCTGCAGTTTATTTTTTTATTTTATTGATTTTCTATGGCTGTGTTAAAAAATAATAAATAAATACAGGACATATTCTCTTGTGGTCATTTGTACTTAGTCTAGTAGTTAAGATTGTATTCTTCATTAGCTTTTGAACTGAGTGATAAAACATGACTGACACTGGCTCAATACCACAAAGATACATACTTCTAAGCAACACTAATATTGTAAAGAATCACTTTCACTTTATTTCTTTACATTACTAAGCATTTGTACAGATTTCATTACCGTATTTTCCTTGTTAATTTAATACCCTCTATACTATATTTTTCAGGACCCTCCTGTGCTTCCAGTTGGTCAGTTCAGTGAGAAATTTGTGCACTTCATAACACAGTGGTAAGTGTGTCTGATTCGTTAATGGTGTAAAGTGATGATTTTCACTCTGTGGTTTTCATCAGTGGTGGTTGTAGTTTGTCTGTTAAATGAATGGAAGCACCTGCCAGGTTTTCAAAATGTCAAAAGCATGACATTGCCCCAAGGGTGTGCACTTTGAAAGCTGAAATTTAATCCTGCACTTTTTGCTGAAGTATGCAGCTGCCGAAACCTTCAGAGCAATCGCACAGATAGTAAACCTGTATGAAATTTTTGGGGAAAAAACAGTCGTACGCAAAATTTTGAACACCTAGTCACATTACAAGTTTTGTTGATTTTCTACAGGAAACAAACCTAAACATGGCTTTTTATGCTAATTTTAGTGCTGTTCTGTTTATTTAAGTTTAGCATATTGTAAAGAATAAAATGTAAAATATAAAAAAATGCCATAACTTTTATGTTTATTCAGCAAATAAACAGTAATTGTGCATAAAAATGTGCAGGGTGATTCTTTGTTTTGACCTAGAAAATCAGCATAATTTGGGTGCCAAAACGTTTGCAGACGACTGTACAGGAAGAGGTGGCTTCAATCTGATACGCAGTAACTATGTCAAGTTGATGGCAGCAGAAAAGGCATGAAATAGTAATGTTAGGCACATTTCCAACCACTTCTTATTTTTGCTGTACTGAAAAATGGTTGAATTGAGACACCACTGTATCAAACCGAATCAAATAATACATTTTGTGAATGGTTACCGCCCCCCCCGCCCCACAACACACTGGTGAATGTCATTTTTTTTTAAGGATGAGAATTGAATAAATTAAAAAAACCCACTTTAATACACCTGTTCCTTTTACCAGCCCAGCTTTTTTCTACTCCAGCACGACCATACAGTGCAGTCAGTGGGCTATGATTGATGACTTTATTACATAGTCAACCAAGCTTTACATGAATAAAAATATTTACACTACCCTGCCCCTCCTTCCCCAGACACACACATGTGCGCTCAGTTGTCTCTCTCAGGTTATGCCCCAAGTTCCCACAACCCCTGTACCACCTCTCCCTGGTTTCCTCTGCTGTGTCAGACCTTTGAGTGCCATGGCAGCAGCCAGATGTGTAGGGACTTGTTTAGCAGCTGTTGTTTACTTGCCACCCACTTTATTTACACAAACAGGTCACCTGGCTCCATGGTGCCACCCAAGCCTGGCACTGCTATCCCAGCATACTCTACTATTATTAGCCTGTTCTTGAGGATGCTTCATTCATCACAGCCCAAACAGCCCGTTCATGGACCTCTATGTCCCTGTAATCCCTCCTATCTCTTATATGGGTCAGTTTGACTGATTTACCTGTGCTTTAGGTAGATCTGTGCCAAGGAGAGCTGTTAATGGACTTACTTACATTTACCACTGCCACTAACGAGAATGGGCTGTTTCACCTTAATTCCTTGCAGAAACATTAAAGAGGACGAGATGATCTTGAGGTTGATGTTATTAGTGTTCTTGAAGGCATTTAAAGTTCAAAATAAAATCATTTTTTGCTTTGTTAGGCCATGTCCCTGGTCATATTAAGCATATTAAGCATATTAAGCAACATTGTTTGGTGTCCTGCTTCACCAACTATACAACCTACCATCAAGAAAAAATGCCCAGCAAGCTCAGAGACCCCCCACCCCCGTAATTCCCTGATTCACCTGGAAGTACTTCACTCAGTGGAAGGAAAATGCATTATGGTTTCCATTTAATGTTGACTGTGACATTTTATTTCCTAACAAATTAGGGCATTTTCACACTCTTTTTTTACAGCTTTTTTACAGACCCAGGACCGTTTAGACCAAGAGTTCGATACATTTGAGCAAGTTTGAAAACTGCTTTCAAGCCTGGCAGTGGCCTAAAAACCAGTCCCTTTTTCTCCTATTAATCTGGTGCCATCCAAATTAATTTTGTTTTGTAAAAACAAACCAGCGAAAATCAGTCTGTCCTGTAAACGAGCCCTGAGCCAGACCGGATTGCGGGCTCGGTTATTCAGCCCTAGGGAGAGAACGCCCTCACTGTCTTTAATGGACTTTTTTCTCTCCACAGCATGAGAAAGCAACCAAAAGAACGTCCTGCTCCCAATAACCTTATGGTGAGTGAACTTCCTTTAGCATATATTAATACACTCATGTAGTCTCTTTCTACTCCCACAGTTCCAATCTGCCTGTTGAATTAACTAGAGTATCAAAACTGGATGGACAAAGGACGGAACCATGGACTCTTTCTGCTAGTCTGTGATAAATAGAGCTAACCTTGGTGACAAAATCAGAATAAGCTAAGCAGCTATAGACACCGCAACACTGGTAGTTTGTGTGACATTTGCAATTACATTCTTTCTTATTAGATCAGTTACAGTTTCACTGACAAATTAAAGATGATTGTACAACCATAACTTCTTTTTTTTGCTATGCTTGCATATAAGATGGACAATCTTAAAACTGCCCCAGCAAAAAATGTCGCTGTTATTATTAGTAGTAGTATTAGAATTAGCATTCTGCTGGTGCTCCTGGACACATCATCATTGATGTGTTTGGAAGCATCAGCAGAATTAGAGATAATAACAACACATTTTCTTCCAGTAATTTTGAACACTGAAGCAGATTGGAGCCAACATTGCATTGAAGTTGAGCTTGTGAGCTTAATCTTGGTCAAATAAAAGGTAGAGCAAAGGCAAAAAGCACCCCCCCCTTCGAGTTTAACCACTGTGATTATTTCACACATGGTTTTCTGAATAAGAGGATTCTGTTACCATCACAGGGCTAAAACGAGACTACATTTAAGAGTTACATTATGCAAAGTTTGAAAAAACAAAAAAAGATAGAAATATAAATAAGCTCTGCTCAAAAAACTCAACTGATCAGAGCTGTCTGAGAGCTGTCTGGGCATGGTCCTACTATTCTAATGAACCACTTGATTGACATCTCTCTATCCAAGACTCCCAGTACTGTTATGCCACTCATGCTGGACAAAACACAGTAGTGAAAGCAGATAGTAGTGAGTGAAACGGGTAACGTCGCTGTCCAAAAAAACATTTCAATTTTCTGTGAATTTTTTTCTTTCTTTCATGATTTCATGATGAAAGGGACAGTAGAAATGTTCCAAAATTACTTGGACTTTGCTATGCTTGCAAGGTTAGTTTTTCTTACTAGCTTTCGCCCAAGGTTCGGACTGCACAGTTTACACAGTTGAGAGTAATTACCATCATTTATTGGGCTTTGGAATGTTACTCTTAGGGCATACTTTGTACATGTGTATTGTGTGCCCACAAGAGCAAGAGAATTTGGGGATTTTAAAGAACCATCCATTGAAAGGTTATTCTTCTATGGTATCACTCTGAAGAGTCCTTCTTGCCACCTTTATTTTTAAGATGGAACATGCAACAGAACAAGGATGGAGGGTTAACTGTATGGCTCTAGAGTGTGAATACAGGACACTTTACATGTGAGAGTGTGCAACCGATGTTCATCATCCAGATATTGCTGAAAGTGTCTCACTTTAAATGTCTTTCATTCTCTCTTTCATTGACAACACTCTCAGTGTTTTCCTTTTACATACATGATGATTTATCCTTCTCTGCGCATTTGAGTTCCATGAAGTTCTCCTTCAGAGAAGTTCTGTGTCCTTTCTCTCCTCTATCTGTGTTTGCCACAGAGACTGAAACCCTTTTGTGTGGACTTGATGGAAATCTCTGATAGTGTGTTAGCGCACAAGGTTGCAGCTATTTGCACTTGAGGTCTTTAAAGGCTGTCAGCACAGCAGCCAGAGCTGTTTCAGCACCATGGATAGCAGCACAGTCCACTGAGAACCAGGTGCAAATGCAAAGTGTGTACGGGTGTGTGTTAGTGTGGCTGAGTGTGTGTCAGTTTGGTTACACGAGTTTGTCATTTAGAGGGACATGAGTCTTCATCCGTGACATTGGCTAGCAAATTGTTTCCCTTTAGTACAGAAGAACAGCTCTTCTGTCATCACTCCAGTCAAAGAGCTGCATGATATGGACAAAATACTAGCATTGCAGTTATAATGGCACATATTGTGATTGCAGTACACCTAACAAGCAGGAACGAGTCCAAACTTCAAAATTTTTGAACAGACATTCAAGTTTAAAAATAATAATTATTAGTAACAAATTATCATCTCTATAACAATTTAGAACAATGAGATGTCTGAACTCTTTCCTCGAGGCCAGTGTGTATCATAGGGGTTTTGGTTGGAGGGATTCTAATCTGTTTAGTCCAAGAAAGGAAATGTAGAAAGACTAACATTACTGCAACCACACAGCACAGCTCTAGCATATAGGGAGCGTTGCCAAAAAGCACCAATAAATATCAAACTCAAGCACATTTTACATTCTGCTCATATAGATTTAATGGATTTCAACTTTCAGCGTAATTTAGTGAATCACATTTGGTAAAATTTAGATGCACAAAATAAGCAATGTTAGCTGAGGTAATAGACAATTAGTGTTTGTCTAGTTATCTTGTCGACTTAGAGCCTGTTTTAAATCTTGCATTAACATGTGTCCAGATTGTATCTGGATATGCTTTGGCCTGATTCCATTTATACTTTTCACTACAATGCATCTCCAGTGTGACCAGATGAGAGCCGGTTGTGCTGTTCCGGCGTGAAAAACATGTCAACATATATATTGTTTCTGTTTTACTTTTGTTTAAATTTTTCCCCCCATTATGATACAAGTCGAGCTTGGGCTGGATGCTTCATCGGCTTGGAGTGCATGACGGCTCTTGGTCTGACGATGATTTCATCCTTGTGTATCATCCATCCATTTGTTACGTTGTTTATTCTTTCACTCATTAGTCATCACTCGGCAGACACATTTCTGCTCACGTTATACTGATAACGATCACGCATTCTGCTTACATTTCTGTTAATAGCAGTCAAAATCCGTCTCTGACCACCCCCGAATATGGTTTGAGCAAACATAATAAGGGATATTCACAGTGCTTCTGTTTACATCTGGCTTTTTATGCGGTCAAGTGAAATCCGAATGTGATCCGATCAACAAAAATGCATGTTAATGGAAGGTGTAAACAGGCCCTTAACTGATTAACTGCGTTTATCTGGGTAAATTTCAAGCTACATGTAACCTGCTATGGATTCTGGTTCTGTGGTCCTGTGGTCTGGGTGTTAAGTGGCACTTAGACAAATAGAGCAGTGCTGGAAATAATGGATACAGATTTGTTATTTATTTTTTTGTGGTGGGTGGAGTAATTTTTTTCACCGTCTTACAAGTTTACAAGATTCCCTTTTTTCTTCTTTTCCTTTTCTCTGTCTTTATGCAAGAGGATTTTCTTATCTGATCTTCTCAGAAACACCTACTGAAAAATCACATCAAATAAATGAAGGGTGCACCCTGACTTAAGCACAGTACTGTGTGTGTGTGTGTTCGGTCAGCATACTTATAACCTACAGCAAAAAAAATGTGGTTGGTTCAAGAGCTCATTTGCATATTGCAGTATTCTATGATGTCAGTATTGAATAGGCCAACTTCATGATAGCGATTAACAATTTGTAAAGCGCTACCTTCGTATTGTGAAGTGCGACCACAGGAAAGGAGAGTGACCATGGCCTGCATGTATGTGTTTATAGGTAATAATATGTCGATGTTATGCCAGTGAAATCTGCCTGACGTCATTTAATGAGCGTTCAATCACTCAGTTGGTTTAATATCCCTTATTAGTATGAATTTCTCCATACCCTTTCCATTTGTCCATCTGATTCTCTCTGCTCAGTGGCACTCACCTCGTCTCTCTGCCTACTCCTGCGAGAGATCCAGTGTGTCCTCTAAAAGACATACTGCCCGAGTGATGAATTACTGTGTGGTAGGTCAGTACTGATGGTACTAAACTAGCTTGCCTGTCCATGTATGAGTGTGGACACACGTAAACCTAAAAGGGTTCTTTGGAATGACCCCATAGAAGATCCACCACTGTAATTAGTTAACTGTAATTAATTTAATAAGAAAGAATGTAATTGTGAAGAACCACTAAAGATCCTTTCAATATATGTTTTTTGTGTTTATCCTGTGTGTTTATTTAAAGGAGGGAAACACATCAAATGATGGATACTCTGACAAGACAATGCAAGATGCCACACAGTTCATTAAGCAAAACTTACTTTGGGAAATGTAGGGAGAAGGAAAAATCCGACCACTGTACTTTCCTAAGGGCCAGGGGAAAGCATTTTATTTTTGCCTGTGGTAATTGTATGCTACAGCAGGAAGAGATTTTGTTGAAAGATACTGGAATATTCCTTTAAAACATCATGTTTTTTGAGGAGCCTAAAGTGGTTCTTCAAATGTCTACATGGCATGATACGTTCTGATGAGACTGAAAGGGGATTTTTTTCATTTCTGGTATAATTCGGTCATTGAGATAACAATAAACATTCAGTCATCCAGACTGTTCTGCTGTGAAATGGTGCACTGTAGAGAAACCTACCAATTCGGGTTTATTTACAGTGGAGGTGATAGAAACCAGGGGTTGCAATGCCTACAGTGGAAATATATTCATTTTATTTATTTATTTTTGTCCAAAATAACCTGTGAACTTGAAACATGAATTTTGCATGTAATATTGATAATGATAAAATCAGAAAATCTCAGTTTATTTTGTACTACTTTCTTTGTACTGGTACTATTTTGCCTTACAATGCCCAGCATGTACTTTTCCACCATGAATAGATAAAATACATATTTAGCCAAAAGAACTCAGAACTCTACAAAACAATGTCTCATGCATCAGACAGCATCTTCCTAACCATTTCTTGTATCAGCTTTCTGTAAGTGTGCTTTTAGAGGCATTCATTTCTGTGAACAATTCTGATTTACTTATTCATTTCATAGTAGTTACCAAATTACTATACTGTAAATAATAAGCTCAGGGTTCAGTGTGATAAATCTGTTCATCGCTCAGAATTTCAGCATGTCTGTGACAAACACAAAGCTGATCCTGGCATCCTGGAGCATGATTCAGACTCCTGTTTGTGTGTGAGAGACTCTAGCAATGATTGTGCGATGATTGACATCTCCCCCCTCCCTCTGGGTTTCTCTTGTTGTCACTCAGCCTTTTAGCA